CGTGATCCACCCGCCTCGGCCTCTCAAAGTGCTGGGATTACAGGCTTGAGCCACCGCGCCCGGCCCTTATTTTATTTTTAAGACAGTTGTGCTCTGCCGCCCAGGCTGCAGTGCAATGGCGCAATCTCGACTCACTGCAACCTCCGCTTCCCAGGTTCAAGCTGTTCTCCTGCCTCAGCCTCCCAAGTAGCTGGGATTACAGGCCTGCGCCACCAAACCTGGCTAATTTTTGTATTCGTAGTAGAGACAGGGTTTCGCCATGTTGGCCAGGCTGGTCTCAAACTCCTGACCTCAAGTGATCCGCTCAGCTTGGCCTCCCAAAGTGCTGGAATTACAGGCATGAGCCACCATGCCCAGCCGGGCGCTTATTCTTAAAAGGTGCTTTGTAAGTATAAAGGGCTGCACAAGTGCTATTCGTTGTCCTCATCCAGTCCCTTCTAACTCTAAGGCCCTAGATTCCATGATTCAAGTACAGGATGGGGGAAGGCAAGCCTGGGCTCTCAGCCCAGAGGCTTCCAAATGCCCATTCCAGCCACTAGGCAGTAGGTTTGGGTTTCAAGGGAGAAAAGCCCCACAGGACATGAATCCCGGAGCCCTCCAGCAGCCTCCCTGCCCCCTAAAGCATGTCCCGGGCTTGGAAAATCCCCTGCTGCGCTGAACAAACAATGTGAACAGTTGGGGCCCGAGCAGCTGCTGGGTTTGTCAGCAGCCTGGGCTCTGGCAGGCAGGACGGCGGCCAGAGGGGCTGGCGGCTGGCTGGGGAGCCCAAAGGAGGCTCCGATTCCCTTCCTGAATATTCATGGATCAGCAGATGTCTGGCTTCCCCATCGCTGAGGAGCTCAGCAAGGCAGGAACAGGGAAAGCAACAGGGATGCAGACACGGAGAAAACAGGGGGTCCCCCTCAGAGAGCAGCAGTGCTGTGCCAGGAACCCAAGACAGTCCATTTAGTGGACACGTCTGTGAAGCCTGAGAATCCTCACCCCACAGATGGGGAAACTGAGGTCTGGGGAAGGGTCTCACCGCTCTGGGAGACAGTCTGGGAAAACTGCCTTTCTTTGACTTTTTGGGGAAGAACCCCGCATTGAGGAGACAACTGCTTCTGAATAAGGGGGTTCTCTAGGCCGGGCGCTGTGGCTCACACCTGTAACTCCAGCACTTTAGGCGGCCAAGGTGGGCAGATCACGAGGTCAGGAGATCAAGACCATCCTGGCCAACATGGTGAAACCCTGTCTCTACTAAAATACAAAAATTAGCTGGGTGTGGTGGCATGCGCCTGTAGTCCCAGCTACTGGGGAGGCTGAGGCAGGAGAATCACTTGAACTTGGGAGGCGGAGGTTGCAGCGAGATCATGCCACTGCACTCCAG